TACCACATCTGCTGCAACTGCCCTTCTGTCATCTCAACTCAAAGGGGGAAAAGTGCTTTTTGCATGTTTGCAGGGAAGGATTTCAGCACAGTAGGCTAAACTGWTTATTTATTTTTAAACAGTGCAATCTCAGCACAATTCTGGGTTCAACTATGGTAAACAAGTATGGGACAGAATAGAGAAATTCTTTACAGTCCCAAATTACAGTTTGGTTAACCAAAGCGCTCCCTCAGCCAGGTCATTACTGATGTTTTCTTCCACCATCATTCCAAACGAACTATCCAAAGTCAGATGATTTTACTGATCAACTTCAAAGCAAAGATGGATAAACATACAACCAAAAGAAGCCATAAGGTAACAGCCACAGCAGGGTTGTGCAAGTGCTACCATATCTCATCATACAGTAATATATGAATAAATTAATACTGATACTCAGCTCAAGCACACAGTCATTCCATGCTAAATAAATTCTGGACCATTTTATTAAAAACAATCATCTAGACTGTCTATTCAGCATAATTTCCCAGTCTCTATAATCATTTACTTGTTTCAAGTAGAATCAAGGTCTGCATAAGCTCAGCATTCCATGAAACGTAAGACATAGGAAAAAGAACACTCTAAAAACTCTCTTTCCTGGGGAAGAACTGAACCTGGCATAAGGTGTAACCTCGTGAGGAACCTGGCATGAGGAAAACGGCAGTGCCCATATTTTTATCTTCCTCACAGGGTGAGTCAAGCTGACACATGTAGGTGTAAAGTAAAAAAATAAAATAGTAAAATCACAAAATAATCCAGGACATAATTAAACAAATGCAAACTGGACTTAGCAGCAACAAAACCCATTGTCACAAAGAAACGTAAAAAAAGCCATCTTCATTTTGAAGGTTAACAAAATTAGATRTTTATCAACAACCAAGTAGCCAGCTGCCTCTAGGTCAAATATTCAACAGTAAATCAACAGTAAATTATGTCCTGTAAACAGCATGAAATGCAGATTGTGCATTATTTTTTTAGTTAGAATGTTATGTGACGCAGAGTGTTTGGGTGTTTATGATAATTATTGGATTAACACACAAACACAAGGCAATCTAGCAAAGCACAGCTCCTGAATCACAGTTTCTTTACTGTTACATGCAGTGGGCATTTCTTCAGCACTGAGCAACAAGTTCCCTGAACTTTCTAACTCATCGGAAAACACTATTTTAGYATACATAAGCACTGTTGTTATCAAACACAATTTTCATTTCTGCTATGAAAATAAATTTAGCATCAAATACAACAAGAAATCAGTGAGATCTTCCAGGGATTCAGTGTKGAACAAACTGTAATCCAACTCAAGTCAGCAGAGGTTATCCAAACACATTGGCGGGAGAATAGATCAGTTCAGAGACAATAATTCCTGTTCTTTCCTTTCACATACAAAGATTAAAAACGATATTTTTTAAGATGTTGTCATCTCAGAATGGATGAGAAATACTAAATAAGTAGAATCCCTAGAGATAACTTATTTGATCGACAAGTTTGCAAGGTTGCAACATGCAGATCATGCTGTATATAGGGAAAAAAAAATACCTCGCAGAGTTTGCAAGTCTGAAATAAAAGTATGCTCATTTCAGATGCTCCTTGAGTGACCAGAGGTCTAGAACCAGTCTTTACTAGCCAGTCTAAACTGGGAAATATTACTGACAATATTACAAAGTCATTCAAATGCCTTAGTAACAGAGAACAAGTAAACATCCCCACAGTGAGGGAGAGAGGTTCAAAAAGGCTTAATGAAATGAAGGTTTAAGAAGTAGCYCCAATTCTTACGCATTCTCTCCCATAATTTGCTAAATGTTATAAAAGAAAAAAAATGTATTATAAATAATATATTAATAACAATAATAACAAGGGAATGGGAAGAATTTATGAGTATCTCTATTACACACTAACACAACAATGAAGTATATCAGAGGTGACTGTAAGCTACAAGCTGTAGGCAGTTGAGTAAGAACTGCATTTGAAATACCAGAACAAATTTTCATTGTCTGGAAAGGCACAATTAATTAGGAGCAGTATTAAATTTGATATTATAGCAATTGACATTATTGTTTTAATATTAACTACTCTAAAAGTAGTAGATAACCAGAAAGACTTAAATAAACCCAGTTAAAACATTGCATTCTTCACTACTTCCACCATTAAAATTTATCCTTATAACCTTGTATTATCAAATTTTGATTTTTGGTGTGAAACCTACCACAAGATCTAATTAAGAAGCTTCAGATCACAATAACAATATTTTTTAAACAGCTAAAATAGCTTTGAGAAATCAAGACATTTTACTAGGGAGGGGATAAAATTCTCTCTTTATAGCTGCAAATTGCTCAACTTAAGTTTTTAGACTGCCAGGGTTTCCAGAAATTCASTCTATAAGTAGTACTTATATTAGAAAATAGATGATCTCTACCAAATGATGACTTTTAATGGCTACTGTGAAATCAGAGTGGTTGTGAATCTACTRGGCAGAACTGTAATTTAAGTGCAACCCACCTAACATGAGCAGCTAGTTTGGAAACACGCCGTAGATCAGCTAAACAATGTTAAGTAAAACAAACTTCAGCAAAATGCACTAGATGTGCTGGAAACTTTTAAAAATTACTATCACCTACTGCTATATATTCCATGGTACCATAATAAAAAAATCCAAATACAAATAAAYGATGTGGGACTCAAAGTAAGCTCTACATAGAACTTTGGTCTTTTAAATAAGCATAAAATAAATATGAGATCATTCCAAGGACTTAAGAATTAAAAGCCAAATATAACCATGCAAAAGGTAGTGCACTGTAAATTGACTGGTGTTATGAGAAAGAACCATTCCTCTTAAGGTAATCAGTATATTAAGCACTATCACCAATTACGAAGTACTATTAAGCCATCATACAAACACTAAAATTTCTTCAAATCCAAAGACATAGCTAAAATATTCTTAATGGAAAAACAGAATCATTTCGTTAGCAAAATATGAAAAACTTGTACACACTTTAAGACAGCTTTTCTTGCAGTATTTTATTATTTCAGGGCTCCTGTACATTTTCTGCCTTCACTTCAGTGCTGCACATTACACACYAATCAAAGATACCGCCTTCAGACCATGAGATATTCTCACCCAGAAACTTCCAGATTGTACTGGGTTACAAAAGGATTTTATATTCTATTTCAAAAATACAGTTTCTCTGTGTTCCTTCTGCCTTTTAAACACCTAAAATCCAGCAGCCCATTTTTAACATCAACACAACTACCACATGACATTCTGGATTTGCACTAAATGCCTCTATATGACTTGTTTCTCACAAGTTCATCCTCTCTCTGTACACATTTTGTTGAGAAAGGCAGGGCAAGTTGAAATTACTCTTCATGTTACTCCATGAAAACCAYAGCAAACAGATCACCCTTCTCCATCCCACAATAACAAACTAGGCAGAGATAGCCTCTACTTTCTTTTCTTTAAGATTTTACCTTTTTTGCACTGTTCTGCTCCAGTCTTTACTATTTCCCAGGATCTTAAGATGTCAGCAAGAATTTGTTATAAATTGTCTAAATGGGAGAATCCGTAACTTCCTAAATCACATAGTTTATAAAAAAATGTCAGCTTCTGTCAGAGCACAGAACGTTCTTTTAAAGGCATAACTTCATTTAATRGYCCTGGCCAAAGGAAACAGTTGTCCTTTTTTTCTGCACGGTTCATCCCTGGCACTCTATCATTTTCAAAAGTCTCTTCTTTYTTTTTCCCAGCAAACAATAAAARTTTAAGTTTCARTGTGCTCACTGCAGTCARRGAATTTCCTCAGTTCCTACTAGTTTAATGAAGCTGTGAAATATGTTACTCTGGAGCACAGATGATCTGTTTGCACAGCTTTCAAAGGATAACTGCACCAGTTCTGAAGCAAAAGGAAAATGTCTATTCCTTCCATTTATATGGCCAACAATAACTTCTACATTCTGACAGAATCATGTGTACACTGGCGGGGAAGGGGAGTTTCAAAACACTTTATCAGGAAGTTCACAATCCAATAAAACKCAGGCTCCCCAGATACTGATCCAAACTGATGCACAGGATTTGACTCTGAAGTTCAGGGCTGCTGTTTTGTTTTTTAAACCTAGTTACAGATCTTTTTCTCAACCAAAARCAACAGTTTTTTCAGCACAGAAGACCTTAATAGATGTGAACAATAAGCAWACAGTATTCTCTTGAAGGAGAGCAGTTACATTTTTCTATCCAAAGGGAACTCAATACAGCAGAACATTGGGTTTGTAACATCATATTCATCTACTTTAGAAGATTCAATGCACAAGAAAAGAATCATTATTTTATTTACATTACACTGAAAAATACTGCAGTGGAAGGTATCCCATGCTCCACCTAACAACCCAGTGATCTGCTAACAGCAACACAGCTTTACTCTCACCACAAAATTGGAAAATCACATCATATCACAGCATAGAACTGAGTTTCTTAGAATTAGCATTCATTTGAAAGAATAAGCAAATTATTTTTTTAACAACTTTTACCTCCTGTCTGACGAACCCCAGTTATTTACAAGCATTCTGTATTATAATTTCATCAACGTTATTAAGATTCCTGAGATCAATCTCTCTGTATTAGCACTGAAGGACATCAATATAAAGTATTTATTTTAAAAAGTATATATGACAGCTGGAAGCTTAACTTTCTTTGATGAAAGGATGAGAAACATAGCCCTCTAAAAACTTCTACAGTATATATTAAAAATGCATTTCTTTACTCAGCAGCATTTACTCTCCTTTCAGTAGAGGATGTGGTTTTTATTTAATYAAGTCATCTCAATGCTTTACAAGTCAGAAGTAAAACACTACCAGCTCCATCACTAATATCTGCTCTTCTTTCCCCCRTCACCCTTATTCACATATTCTACAAAATCAGCTGAAAGACAAATACTCAATGCAGATACTRTCAGGTATTTTGACTCATTACTCACATCATACTCTGCAGTTCAGGTGTAAAGCTTGTTGATTTTCTTCCACTGCTTGAAGAGACAACCGAGGACATAGGGCTGGCCACAGTGCTGCTCATCTGGGTAAACAAAGAAATAACAGCACTTAGAATACTTGTACTTCATTTTCAAGAGAGCACATGTATGCTTCACACTGGGTATTTAAAAGGAAGAAAAGCCATTTGGAGTAGCATTGGCAGGTAAAGGTTCTGCAAGCAAAAAAGAAGCCTATGTGAGGCACTAGAAAATTCAAGAGTTGATGTTTACTGTAACCCGAGCATTGGAAGCAAGCACTAATTCTGAAATATCATTTAGAAGTGCCAGAAGAAAAGCATTAAGGTAAAAACACCACAATTCTGGCATAGAATAAATGGCATTCAGAGGCACCAGAATCTCTGCTGCTTTATCATCCTGCTGTATTCCTGCATATCCTAACCACCAGCATTTCACATCTGTACCATCTCCAACGAGGCTCAGAGAAGTAAAAGAGATTCTCACAAAATGCCAGATAAAACCTGATGAGCACAAATATCAGAAACTTTTTTTTTACAAAACATCCCCTTTAAGCACACCCATTACTTAAATGCTTCAAACAGAAATTCATTAGAAAGAGTGAGACCTCATCACCATCGTGACACTCATAGCACTTGAAGGTACTATCTTTATATGAAGTATTTTACAGCTTTGCTATATAGCTTTCTCATTCAGAAACTCCAAACGAAACACAGGACAATTTTACTTATTCTATGAAGTAATTAACACATCTAAATTTTCCTCTTTAATCGTATGCAAGTCAAATGGCTTTGAACTATTTAATTTTACAAAAATAACTTAAATTACCAAAAAGCTGACTAAGTAAAATTTAATTATGGAAAACTATAAATATGTATAAATATGTAAAAGGGAGTTTCTTTTTTCCCTTCCCAAATACTAAAAGAAAACTGCTTACTGTGTAAGTCCCCTGCTAAACAGCATATATTCCCATATTATTTCTTAGTCTTCTGGCTTGTTGCATGCTAGTAACCATTGAGCTGTACTGCTCATTTCTTGCACTATTAGAAGTAGCAATGGTAATGACAGTAAAAGCTGTATGTTGATGTAGTTTCGTTGTGCTGCAAAAGAACCCCCTACCTTCCTTCATTTTGAAATTCAAATATTGTTTTCTAGAACAGAAACCTACTCTACCACTTGCCAGGGCCACCTGTTCCAATGCTTGACTACCCTTTCTGTGAAAAGCTTTTCCCAATATCTWAACCTCCCTTGGCAAAACTTGAGGCTGTTTCCCCTTGTCCTATGGCTTCCAACAACGGAGAAGAGCCTGACTCTCATCAGGCTGCACCCTCCTGTCAGGGAGTTGCAAAGAGTGAGAAGGTGCCCCTCAAGCCTCCTTTTCTCCAGGATGAGGCCCTCAAGCTCCCTCAGCTACTTCTCATCCAACTTGTGCTCCAGACCCTTCCCCAGCTTTGTTTCCCTTTTCTGGGCACGCTCCAGCCCCGCAGTGCCTCTCTTGCCCTGAGGAGCCCAAAACTGGACACAGCACTCCAGGTGTGGCCACAGCACTGCCCAGGACAGGGGGACAATCACTGCCTGGCCCAACTGGCCACATCATGGCTGGTACAAGCCAGGTGCTGTTGGCCYTCTTGCCCACCTGAGCACACCTGGCTCATGTYCAGCTGCTGTCACCAGCCCTYCCAGGTCCTTTTCCACTGAGCAGCTTTCCAGTCACTCTGCCCCAGTCTGTAGCACTGCACAAGGTTATTGTGACTTAAGTATTGGACCCGTCACTTTGACTTGTTGAACCTCATACAGCTCACTTTGGTCAACTGATCCAGCCTGTCCGGACCCCTTTGTACCGCCTTCCTATCCCACCCAACTCGGTGTCGTAAGTTTAACTTTTTTATTAATGCTTTCATGTAGATTTTCAGACTTCAGTTTATCTTCAGGCAGAGTCTAATTTAGGTCCCCATCCTGCAAGCACTTATGCACATGTGTAACTTGAAGCACAAGTCTGCTCCCACTCAAGTCTGATTTTAATCACAAGTAGTTACACACAAAGCTAAAGTGTTGTCAGGAACCTGCCATAATCAGCAGTTACCAGAGTCATCTAACCTAAACAGTCAAATTAGAGAATTAAAAAAAGAAAAAAAAAAAAAAAACAAGTAAAAACCCTCTGTAACAAAGAAATATGACAGTATTTATAGGAAAGCTCTGTGCATCTATGAAAGAGTGTGAAGAGGAAACTTCCACTGTGGCTACCTTAGTAGAAATAGCCTAAATAGTCCAAAATTTCTGTATATTTTATTGTTCATCATTTGACTGGAATTAATTATGATCAATTTTAGTAGCTACATAAATATATCCAATACTACAGTACCAATATTCCTAAATAGAGAATTAACAGTGTATTCATTAAAAACTTAATAATATTCAAAATTCTAAGATGTTTATTTTTTAATTTAGGGGTTTTTTAACTATTACATCACTTGAAGCATGTAATTATTTTCTTTGAACATCTGTGACAGACGTGGTGCTTTATCCATGAGGTTCTGTTCTGCTAATTTATGAAGCATTCTCTCAAAATTCCCAAAAACCATGGGCCCCAATTCCACAGCTGCCTCCTCACAGCCTAATATCTGTTATTCATTTATGTCCTATTCTGGAGAGAATTCTTTCCTAGATTCCTGTCCTCCAAGTGGACAAGAGCAATTTAATTTACAAAACTTGAAGGGMTGTACATCTCAGTGGTTTGAGAGCTGAAAGCTTATCAGCCACTGCTTCACTAAAAACTTGGATCTTCCTATTGCAATGAAATGATTTAACTTTCAAATCAAGCAGGTGTACAGCATTTTCTTGACATAAAAAACCAACAGCTTGTCAGGCTTCATCAGACCCTTTACAATAATTACTTCCACAGCCCACATTTTGTTTGATGGTTTAGATAATTAACTTCTTTACACATCAAAGTCCCATCCTCCGTATGTTCTATTTCCTTTCTTCCGGACATTAAAAAAAAAAAAAAAGAAAGAAAAAAAAAAAAAAGAAAAAAAGAGATCATTCAAAAGCAGAAGCACTCTCAAATCAATTTTCTTCAATAAGTACAGCTATCACAGAACCAAAAAGCCTACAGTGATCTTCAATGGGTCGATACACTGTATTTGTTTTAGCTCCAAACTGAAATGCAGCTGTTTGCCATATTTCACAAAATGTACTCAGATGTTCAGATCAGGTCACAGATTATTTCAATGTGGTGCATTTTAATCATGAACTCTAGAAAGAAGATAACTTCTGATTAACACTATTTGGACTAGTAATTACAAGTTCCTATCCAAGTAGGTCCAGTTTTTATAAATTCTTTTCTCATACGTAAAACCCTGCAATCAAATGTGTAGTAAAAAAAGACAYATTAAGAGGTATATATGATCATTAATATAAATGTTTAAAAGCATCTACTGTAATCTCTGTGCCTTCTACATTGAAGAGTCATAACAGAAAACACTTGTTCCATATGGATCAGCAGAACAAAAGTTATCAGTTGAGGGAAACAAATTTTAAGTAATTTCTCATCAGGTTCAGGCCCATCCTTCTCACTACAGTAAGATACCTGGGCAGATTTCTGTTTCAAAGCCTTCCTTCACATCCATATCCACTCTGAAATTACCAAGCAGTATTAACTTACACTGACTTTTCTACAATCAATAAGTGATCTGTATACCTCATGTATTTATTCAAGATCCAGCTGAGAGACATAAACATTGGAATTCCACTGCGCTAAAACTTCAATTTCATGTAAGGGTTATACATTTAGGCAATATCCCATACTATATGAAAAATATAAATGTATATATATATAAAAAAAACATATCACAGAATTATTTGGGTTAGAAGGCAACTTAAAACACATCTCAATCCAACCCCCTCCCATGGGCAGGGACACTTTCCATCCGAGCAGCTTGCTCAGGGCCCTGTCCAACATGGCCTTGAACACTTCCAGGGATGGGGCTGACACAGCTCCTCTGTTCCAGTGACTCACCACCCTCACAACAAAGAACTTCTTCTCTTTATCTAATCTAAACCTCCCTGCTTCCAGCTTAAAGCCATTCCCCCTTGTCCCATCACTGCACACCCTATCCAGCTCTCTTGTAGCCCTTTYAGGTCCTGGAAGGTGCTGTGAGGTYTCCCCTTCTCCAGGCTGAACACCAGAGACTCAGTCAAGTCTTGAAATACTACTCAGATACTTTCACCAATCGCCACCACCAAAATGTCACATGAAGATCTAAGAGAAAAGTCCATCCAAAGAGTCACTACACAACAGTTCTYGAATAGACTTTGTGACACCTGATCTAAACTCACTTAGGAAAAGCAAGTGTTAATAGGAGTACAGTTTTCACTTCACCRAAAAGAAAAATTACATAAGTCTACACTGGGTCAGTTTAAAACAAAAGTGGATTGGCAGAGATACTCTCTGATGTCTCTGTTAGAGGCTAAAGAAGGTGCAGAATTACCAAAAACAGAGCATCCCTCCTAAAATTTTTACACTGAATAACACAGAGTAGAAGTTACCCTTATAATGATTTAATTCATCAAGCATACATCTAATGKGGTTATCACAGTCTTTTCATAAATACATTTTGCATATAACCTGAAACCATGCAAAAATTTAAAGACTGATAAATTTTCATTTATATAAACTCAAACAAAACCAGAAGGAAATAAAAGCCAATATAACTATGAATTAACACAAAACTAAAATTAATGCTTTTGTTTTCACAYCCTCTGCTTCAGAATAATTAGATTAACTAGTCTGTTACCACTGAGTATTTCATGGTCTCACCAGCTGACAAGAGGGTATAGGATAACAGTCTTCTAGGACTGGAGATGTAAGAACTTAATTAACTACAGGAAACACAGATTTTTGTTACTGCACTTCTTTAAAAAAAAAAAAAAAACACGCCCATAACCCTGCTGAACATATGCAAGGCTGGCTTTTTGAGTGTATGATCAAAACTATAGAAAAATAAGTTTTAAAAACACCCAAACAATAACCCATAACCAAATGCAAAAGTACATTTATTTTTTTGCT